TTATTATAGCTTTGATTTTGCCTAAACATTAAATTACACTGTTTAAAATGAACAGAGTACTTCCCAGTCTTGTTCAACTCCTTGTTAAATCAAAGCGTGGTGGATTTGGGAAATTCATGGATATTTTCCGCCCCAGACTGTGGTGATGGAGACCTGTGTATTCTTCCATACAGTCAGTTATTAGGCAGGCCCTCTGCTCTCAGGGCCTTTCTAAAGGAAATAATGAACCGAACTCTTCACTGTTTGGCCTCCACTTTCTTGCTTTATTAGACATTTAATAAGTTTAAATAAAGCCCAGAAGAACACTCGGTTACACAATCAAAACACTGATAACAATTAGTGTTTGTGACGTGTGGCTTTGTGTTTGAATCTGATGTGAGCAGCAGGACAGTAACTTCATCTGATGCCACAGATATTTCCAAGCAGGACAGAGGCAGAAATTTGTTCATAAATTAGACTTAAGACTAAAAAATGGACACGGCATCAATGTTATCATTCAGTCAATTAATGTAATCATTTTGTAATAGTGCAGATGTGTCAGATGAGTTTGGAGGAATGCCAGTGATCTGACATCTGATTAGATAAGCCACTCTTAGATCTGTAACAACGGTTTCTTAAGGCAGAAAGCAAGCAGGATGAGGCTTGTAAACATTATTGCTGTAAATACCTCAAACATCTCGGAGAACAATCACTGATTCAAATGCTAACGTGAATACACACATAATCGTTGATCTCGGAGGGGCAAGGTCTCCCCTGAGTATTTTAAGTTGTATTTGTTTAGGGCTGCTAAAGCTGAGGTGTCATGCTGTGATTAACAGAGTAGTGATTGTTTCAGTGATGTTATCTTTGGTTAGTGGGTGTAATAGATGTTCAACTGTTGGCCAAACACAAACAAGCAGGCCCTAAAGGAATTGTGGCCGCGATCAGATTCCTCAGGCATTCAGTGTTTGACGTGCAGTTGCAGATTGATTGTTTGTGTTATGCATTGCCGATGCCAGTGAATTACAGCTCTCATCATTATTGAGATGACTGGAATGATAAACTATTTATGAAACATTATATAAGCACTCACATTGATTTGTTTTTCTTTGCAGGTCTTGTCTGGTTGTGCTGTCATCGTTAGGGGTCAGCCGCGAGGAGGACCCCCTCCAGAACGGCAGATCAACTTGAGTAACATCCGAGCCGGAGCTCTTGCCCGTCGCGCAGTTCAGAGTCAACCAGATACCAAGGACACACCAGATGAGGTAAACATCAACCCTGCACAGCTGCTCTGGCCCTTGATTTTTAAATGGATTTTTTCCTGAACATGTTCATTCATAGTCTTTCATTTTTTTGTTTACGCAGTTAATTTTTTGTTGGTCATGTTAACTATTTAGATGTGTTTCCTAAACACTTTTTTTGTGTGAAAAAATCTGAATATTGCAGAAACATTATAATTATAATATTATAGTTGCAGATAAAGCAGCATTTCTGTCCACTGTGTTCAACAGCACCAAATTTTTTTTTTAAATAAATCACAGTTTCCAGGGAAACTGATGTAAAACCGAAGTTGAGGTCACTGTCTTATTTGCGCAGTGTTTATATACAATGTGTTCACAATGCATTAAAAAAATGTCATGAACATGGAAAGTATCAGAAATTTAGTGTTCTTTAGGGCAGTGTTTCCCAACCTTTTTTTTAGTCGTGGCACCCTTTGGAAATTTTAACAAATTTGTGG